AAACAAGACAAAGGATTTCCATTTACAGGGTATGCTGGGATTGAGTTTCACTCTTTGGCACAGCTTAGTTCCTGCAGGGCATTACTTACACCCCACCTCCTGGTTTTAGTAAATTAGTCCCTGTCCTTGAACTATCGCTATGTTTGTGAACACAAGCTCCTAGAGGTGCTCTACAGGTAAACTTCTCCCCCAGCTTTTCTTCTGAAGGCCCTTGTGATCCTTCCTCTGGGAGCAGATGCGTGCCTGTGCTGCGTTCCTTTCAGGCTGTGCTTCCAAAACATTCCCCATGGGAAAGGCTGAAGCAGCTCCTCACTGATGGCCTTTCTTTTGAAAAGCAAGAGGAAACACTTCAAGGGAAGTCAGTGAGGTCAACAAAAAACAGCAGCGATAGCAGTCTGTTACAAATAAGCAAGAATGTAATGCAGAGAATCCCTCTGCAAAATAATTTCTAAGGAAATGGAACAAATTGAAATATGCTAGGGGATCTAAGGCCAATAGCAAATCAATGATGTAAAACATTTAAATATATAACCAAAATTTCAGCAGCTTATGAGCTATCAGAACAGCTATTTCCTATGAAATTTGGACATGGATTTGCTCCCTAAAATACTGAGATGTTCATTGCAAAATACACTATCAATTATACACCATGGGGTAAGAAAAAACTGTCTAGCAAAACCAGGGAAATATTTTAATATTTTGCAGGGCTTTGGGATTTAGAAACTGTTTGCCCTTGTGATTCATGGCAGTCAGACTTCTCTGGCCTCTAGCATCTTTCCTTTGGTAAGGCATAGTAAAAGAGGAAAAAAAACAAACCCCAAAGAGTTTTTAAAATAATAAAAAAAAAATCCTGTATTTTGTCAGGACTTCCAAATTCCTTTCTGCTCCCTTCAGCTCAACCAGCAGTTAAGGTGGTATAAAATGATGCTACAATAGCTTAAAGAAATAGATTGGATGCTTCAGTTTCAGCTAACATTTCAATTTCTCCCACTATTCTTTTTTTCTGGGTGGGTGAAAACACACTTGGATTCATTATCTAGCCATCAAGGGTTTTGCCTAGTTTTTATTTGCTCTGCCCCCTCCCCCCCTTCTTTGCCAGCTGTTCACCTTCTTCTCCCTTCTAACACAACCTTCCTGAAATAAATACAAACCCAGCATCAATTAGAGAGGAGCTATGAACTGTATCCTTAACACAAGTTCTAACCTGGGTAAGTTTGCCCAGCCATGCCTGGAAGGCTCATGTCACAGGCTCTGTCCCCACTGAAGTCTGCAAAGCCACCAGCCTGTCATTAGAAGCACACTGAGTTCCTCGCTGAACAATCCAACTTTAAAAAATATTTAATGTTCTTTCTTCAGCAGTCTTATTTTACCACCCAGGAAGAGTCCCTCCATCCTGATGCTTACTGCACATGTGAGGTATGCAGCTCTAAACCTTTCATGTTTCTAAAGCTTGTGTATATTTGCCATTTAATCACAAGATTTTTTGTTAGTGTTACCTAAAGCAACTAAACATCCTAGTTTTCTATATGAAATATATGTCAAAAGCCGAAATAAAATGACAGGGAGAAGATAAAGACAAATTAAACTAATACGGAAAAGGCTTTCTCCTACAGAATCTGGTTCAAGGTCAGATTCTCAAGGGTTCCAGTGGTGAACATCCTTTTACACTGTCCCAGCAGATGGGGCTTCGCCCTTCAGCAAGCACATGTCAAGGCTTTACCTGGATTATCAGAGTGTTGTGGGCTACCAACAGAGCTCTGGAGCAAAGAGCCATGTCTGTAAGCACCTGGGATTACTGATGCAACACTGCTACCTGCCTCACTGACCACAGTTACACCCAAACCAAGATGCTTTTCATCATTTATACCTCTGGCATTGAATCCTGCCTATTGGTATCTTTTTGCTTAGTCACTGTGCTTTTTGCAGACGCTGTTGGACAATCTGTGAACAAGAATGGTCAAGCAGGAGGGCAAGGTACCACTTTCATACAGAAAAGATTTACACGTAGCTACACCCCGTTCCATGGGAACAGGGCCATGTCTGCACTACCCTGAAACCTTTACTATCAAGGGGTAACTTCAGCTTTGTGCTTCTTTCAGGACACAGGCTATTGGCTATGATCCGACTTGAGACGTCACGATAATTGAGTTCGCTCACGTTACAGACATATTAGCCCATCATGAGAACGGGTCCGAATTGCATCATTTCAAAGCCAGCCAGACGACTTTGCAGTTGCTTCTGTGGCATCCGAGAGGTACCAGCATCTCAAATGCAGTATTTGAATACAAGATCATCCATCCTATTACGCATACGTTGGCTAACATTCAAGCTATTGAGTAGTAACAGCAACTTGTTCTCGTAGGTCCTCTTATATGAGCTTCTGAATTACTCACTGTCATCCATAAAGTGGTAAAACTACATTTAGGAGTAATACATAAAATTCAAACAACACCTTTATTTACATTAGGTTTTCAAGCGCTGGGTGTTGCAACATACATAACAAAATTTCATACTACATTTTTTATACGAAATCAGGTTGAAAAGCTGATCTACAGAATCAGTTTGTCAAAACTGGCTAAGCAGAAAATATGTCAGCTTGGTTTTAGAGTACTCTGATCAATTTTACACCGTCTGCTATAATTCAGAATATTCCTGATGTCATGGTTATAAAAACAGAGCGCTCATGCAGGTTAAATTTACAGCGAACTCTCCTAGTGAATTTTACATTCTTCACTTGTTCAGAAGAGCAAGTCAATACTCTCCACATTGTCTCACAAAGCAATTATGGATCCAAATAGGGAGAAAACTAGAACCATCAGGAGATTTTTAACAGAAGGAAAACTGGATTTAGCAAGACAAGGAGTCAGAACTTTAATTGCTTAACAAACTGAAGTATCATCTCTCATTCTGTAGAAAACAAGTTGTACTGTAAAGATTAATCAAGGCCTTTTATTCCATATTAACATTATGCAGCAACTATTATGAGTGTTTAGATAAACAAAAACTTCATGAAATGTTTTGCTGCAAAGCTGACTTCAGTAATGCACGCAAATGATAAAGTCATCAACTCTGTTCGCTGCCAGAAATAAAAACAATGGCTTCAGGAGCAAATAACACTGATTCATACTGTGCTCAAGCACTAGTCAACAAAATCTATTAAGCTACACAGGGGTGAAAAAAAATAAAATCAAAGCAGCTTTGTTATCTTACTTGTGACACCTTATTTAAATCTCAGGCATTACCTCTTTATATCAGCATAAATATGTAGCCTTCTACACCTTTTATGATGTGGTTACAGACACAAAAATGTTATAGTAGAAAGCAAGAGCTAGTTCAAGGAATTTCAGACTTTGAAATCAGCAAGATACAAAGCTAAAATTCATATGTTCCTTTTCAAGTTATGAATACTTTCACTAAAACATAAATATTTTAACATATATTAATTTTTTCTGACATTCAAAGTTGTAAAGTAATATGGCAGAATTATTGTTAAAAGCACATATTTACAAATATTCTTTTTTCCATACATAAAGTATTTGGCATAATTATAACAATCTTACTGCATACACAACTGTTTGCTTCTTTTTCACATAATGGTACACTCCTTATTAAAATTTACCAATTATGTACAAAAATACTTGAACATTTATTATAGAAAATCTCTGTAACTACCGTCAACAGCTTGTAACTGCTGAAGGTTTAATTGAGAGAATATAAAAAGTGGTCACTTTCTTCCAGTTAAACTATTGACAAATCAAACACACAGCTAAAATCAACATGAGCTTCCCAACAAAAAAGGGAGAAGTATTTTTAAACAGCATGATTTAAAATTCAGTTCACACATCTGTTCCCAAGCACATGTTAAACAGTCAGTAAAAGAAAGAGGATACAAAAAATACATACAGAAGGTGCTTTTTTTTTTCCTTCCCCCCTCCACATTCCTACAGCTTGGCATTAGTTTTCCAGAGCTCTTTAGATACCAGTCACTAAAATACAACCTAAGGCCAAACACCATTCTCCTACAATAAAGATGATGGTGAAACTCAAGCTAAAAAGCAAATCCAAAACCTGACTCCACTGGTATGTACATATCCCAAAGAGCTGCTCAGAATTTTTGCCAGGTTTTTACAAAATTATTAATGACCTCTGCAATTAGCTTTTGAAATTTATTGATCGATATCCAGTAATTTGTATTTTTAAAAACTTGTTCGTTCAGTGTATTGCCTTGGTACTAGTCAGTACTGATTCTTGTACGCAAGTTAAACGAACAATTCATTTGTACCTATTTCATACACAGATTTTATTTTAGGGTGAACTTTCAAAAACAGCAGAGAACCTCCACTAGCAAACTGCTAGCTTTTTAAAAGACAAAACCAAAACGACACCCCCTCACTCCACCCCCCCACCCCCCATTAACTGGAAGAATAAAAGTAAATTGCACCTCAAAAAGAAAAGGATGTGTCAGGTACAGTAATACACTAGCGGCACAAGACCTTCTCAAGATTCACCAGAACGGTGCTGTACGCTGAATGAAATGCAGGTATTTTTCCATCTTAAAAATAACATAAACCAAGCGTGTGTTTCAAAAATTCCAAACCACATCCTTACAACAGTTCTCTGCAGTATAACTTGCATTATATCTCTGTTATTTCCACAGACATTTGAAATGACCAACCTGTTCATCAGATAAGAGAAACAACTTTCAGCCTACTTGCAGAAACATCCTAGTCTACAGACTACTTTGTTAGAAAGCGTGCATTTATCTCTAGTAGTAAAGATCCAGTCAGCATATTCTGTATTTTGTAAGTAGCATTCGGCTAACTCAGATGAGAGTTGTAGGGTTTTAGATACAATTTTTTAAATAAAAATAAAGTACAAATAAAAGCATTTATCAGTATTCACCACCGTGAAATTAAAAAAAATACTCTCATTCATGCTTCCTATAATACCTGGCAACCTAAATTAGTAATTTCGTTTCAAATGTGCAACATAATATTAATAAGCATTTTAAAATTACTCAGAAGAAAAGGTGGGCGAAATATTAAAGTGCCTAACTAAACGCATTTTACCATTTTTAAAAAATATTATTTCTTAAACGGTAAAGAATTGGTTGCAATTAAATACAAAAGCGGCTTCTCATAGCTGAGAGACTTTGCGGGGCAGAGGCCTGGGCCGGGGAACCTGCTCAGTCCTCCTGCTGCTGTTTTCCAGATTGTTTGGCCGGACCAGCTGCGGCTTGGGCGGCAGCGCCGGCGGGTCCGCGGCGGGCGGGATGGAGAGGCTGTGAGGTAGAGGAACGGGGCGTTTCAAAGTCCGCTCGTACACGCTGTAAGGCGGCGGGGTCTTACTTTCTTTTCTCACAGGCTCCTCGGACACGCTGTAGCTTGGGACAGTCACTGCTGGTTCGCTGCCTTGGCTTTCAAAGCCCGACGTCTCCGACGTGCTACACCGGCTGAGCGAAGAGATGCCGCTGCTGTAACTCCCCGACAGCACCGGGGAGTTGGATATGACCCCCGAGGAATGATACTCCACTGGAGACGGTGTGAATGATTGCACAGACCCCTGCTCAAAAGAAAGGGCAGAAGAAGAATTTACCTGGAGTACACGAGGGAGAGCGTTTCTGTGCTCAGACTGAAAGCACACAGATACGGCACAGAGATTCTGCAAACGTGAACGGCTGCATTCCTGTTTAATGAAGATCCAGTAAAAGACCAATAAAAAGCTCATTGCAAGAGCGCCTAGGTACACCTTAATCAGTGTTCGTGCCAGTAATTCATGTAAGTGGAAGTAAAACTGTATTTAAATGTTATCTTACTATGGTAATTACCTGGAAAACTCTGGAAGCCTTTAAAACGAACCCTCAATTTGCCACACTTTGAGTGAAACGCACAACCCCGCGCAGGGCATACCTAGTGACGTCCTGCCCCCTAACGCCCAAGCACAGGGCTTGCATCCCAGTCGCTGCTGCTACTTCAGTCTCTCACACTCCAAATTCATTTTCCAAAGCTTTTCCTCACGCTCTTAGTGTACCGTCATGCAATGAGAAGTGCATTCACATCGTGGCATCATTTCCGAGTGTGTCGCAATACCGACGTCAGGGGTGAAGCGCAGAGCGGATGCCAAGCCAATAGCTGCCGCGGGGTGCCAGCCCCATTCGGCTCGCAGCTCGTCTTGCTATCCCGGGGCAGCAGCAGGAAGGCAGGAGGCGAGGCATCGCTGCTGCTGCAGACAGCATTTTGAACCACAGCTGCTCCACCCTTCCTCTCCCCCATCTCCCAGGCGTTCCTTGGACACGCCGTGCTGCTTGCACGGAACACAAGCCACCACTGCGGGCCCCAGGGACGAGGGTCCAACGGAGGGCAAAGGGTGCGAATGGCTGCACCAGCAGCCTCGCAGGTTTGTGGGGGAAGGTGAGGGATGGGGAGCTGAGGGCCCAAGCGGCAACAACAGTGCTCATGAAGAATAAAAGGCAGGGACAGCAAAGCCCTACCTAAAAACATTGAGCAGTCCTATTCTAGTGAAGCAACTTCACCCGAAAGCTGTAAAAGGTTAGACCATACTTTGCAAGTTAAAAATTTTTTGCAGCATATTTTGACTGGAGCCATCTGAGACAATCTAGACCTAATGGCGTCAAGCACAGGCTAAAAAAAGGGATGGAGAAATCACATCAAAGACAAATTTCTCAGCCCAATTCTTGCTAGACTGGTTGGCGCTCAGCTGCTCAGCTTGAGGTGAGAGTGTGAGCCGTGCAACGAGGGGTGGGGAGGGGAGGCAAAGGAGAGGGGCATAGGTGTATAGAGCTGGATGCACTGACTTTATGCTGTTGAGATAATCTTAGTTATCCATCTAGGACTGGATCCACAGTGCACTGAAAGCAATGGAAAAAAAAAATCTTCATTGACATCACTGGGTTTTGTACTAAGATGGCCTTCACTGGCAGCAGCATGTAACAGTTGGAACGAAGGCTAAAATTTGAGCCCTGTATGTGGCTAGGGAAAAGCAGAGCAAGTGTTGAAGACATTTCAGACATTGTGAGGAGCCTGTTGAACTACTTGTTTCAGGTTTCATTCCTCTCAGCATGTTAGGAGGCTGCAGCTGCACTCCTACCCCCACAAACATTCAGGGTCAAGGTTTTCAATAAAAGATGTAATTGCTTCAAGTTCCAAGAACGCCTGACACTTGGATTAAGTGACCATAAATAAGATTTAGGACCTTTGCTTTTGTCATTCAGAACAAAAGCAAATACGTGTAAACCCTGCCCGCTTCAATTCAGGAGCTGAGCAGGGGTAAGCACTTGGTTCCTGACAGCAGTGCAGACTGCTTGTACTAGTAGTGAGTAACAGTCTAGACACCAAAACAGTCTGGAAATTCATGGATGCTCAAAGGGAGATCCAGCAACTCTCAGAAGTATTCTGGGCCAGCATTCCTCTCCAAAGCAGCAATCCAGACTTTGGCTGTAAAATACTTAAATTCTGTCCGGGCCTTTAGAAGAAAATGTTAGGACCAGCTTGAAACACCCTTAAGAATCATCAGTACCAAGTCCATTCAGGAAAAAAGGAAGAGTTGCTCACCTTCTGTACAAGATCCTAGTGCTCTGAAGGGCTTCCTAGTAAGCAGCTAGTGCGAAACCTGGGATGGGTGCTCACTTCGGTCCTATGCTAATAGGTCTACGGGGCACTCTGATGGCCAGTACAATTGCTCTGTGTTGAACCTGGACCACTGTGCAGCCACAAGTGGAAATGTTCCAGGCTTATGGGATGACAAATGGGAGAATGTCTGTGGGCTTTTGATTAGGGACCTTAAGGGGAAAGGAGGCATTTTGGGGTGCCACTTTCCTCCCCCTCAGGAGATGCGTACGTCTACAGCATTAGTTAGGCATTGGGTAGCTGAGGGACCACTTTGGCAGGGCTGCCTCCCTCTGCCCTCGCACCCGAGTGCCTGAAGCACCAGTCATGCTCCTTTCTATTTGCTCTCCTTCCAGGTTGTTGACCCCCATACTCCTAACTGCAGAATTCTCTCTGCTTCAGTGAGGTGACAGAGGCTATCCCCGAGAATAATGTTGTCCGTCAATGCCGGGGTTTGCCTGGAATATGCCAGCTGCATGTTCATGTCCTCCAGTGTGGAAGACAGATTTCCTGGTCAAGATTTCCAACCAATAAGCTGTTGTGCAACAAGTGGGTACCAGCACATTCAAATATCTTGAAATCGAAATGACACCTGCTCAGTTTAGCCTGGATCCGCAATTGCTATGGGTGTTTAACTGCCAGAGAAGAACAAATGCTTATTGACAGCCTGTGCTTAATGTTTCCTACTGGCAGGCTTCAGACTACTTCCAATTTCTCACAAAACCTTCCTGGATTGTTCTGCAGAGGAAATAGATATTAAAATGACTGAAGCAGGGATTACTCTCTAACGCACCCTCTAATCCAACAGCTCTGGATGCTGGAGGAGTAAGAGGAATGGGTTGCACAACAGGTTCTCCTTAGCTGGCATCTCCCCTTCTGCCACTGTTGGAGACAATTCTGGACTAGGTGGATCACTGCGCATGTCTTATGTTTATTTCTTACTCTCCCTTCTGTCCATTGACTCAGGTGAGCTTGAGTATCCATGTAGGTGAGAAGCCTAATATTGAGAGGCTAAAGAGCCTGAAGATTAAGTTTCTTGCCTGCAGTTTTGAAAATCTTCAGAGCTGCTGTAATTGTTATGGCTACTTATTTTTGTGAATGGGTTTTGTACAGGCATACGATAATAGAATCATAGAATCATAGAATGCTTTTGGTTTGGAAGGGACCTTGAGAGATCATCGAGCCCAACCCCCCTGCAGTAGGCAGGGATTGAACCTGTGAACTTGGCGTTATTAGCACCATGCTCTAACCAGCTGAGCTAACCCGGCTGGTCTATAAAAGAAAAACACAATATAATCACAAATAATGTATATTGAATATATACTATCTACCCCACAATGCATACAACCTGTCCCACAAAGGTGATTCACTGAAATAAGACAGTACCTTCATTGGTGATCTGCCAGCAGGAGAAGGGGAAACAGAGGCTATGTGTCTTGCTGGTGATGCTGTAAAGTCAGAAAGATTTCAGTGCACTCTTGGCATGACAATTTTCACTAAGAAATCTTTTGAAGTGGATAGGAGATCATTCTATGCACAAGCATTATCTCGGGTTCGCTCTAGGTACTTGCCCGATGGCTGCAAATAGTTTTAGAGATTTTTGTTCATTTTACTTTGTTCTCAGGATTATCTTGCAGTACAACCAATGAAGTATAAGAAATTTCTGCATCCATCTTCTCTGACAAATTTTGTATCACTGTAAATTGGTTTATATCCTACCAAATGATAACAGGATTAAAAAAAAGTCAGTATAATAACTTTTCCCCTCCTCTTTTTCTTCTTCTCTTAAGAAACATATTATATATTTGTATGTCAAATAAGAAAAAAGACAACACATAATGTACTTATATCAAACACTTACCTGTAAATATACTGCGAACATGCCTGGACATACTTTGAGGCATAAGTCTAAAACACAAAAAACATCTTCGCTCCCTCGAGAACAATTATATTTATAGTATCACTTAAGCAGCCTTTCCTTTAAATGGAAATTAATCTTTTGAAAGGCAAATTGGTTATAGTAACAGAACTCATGTACTTCCATGATTGCTGTGCATTTTCTGGCTAGTAAGATTCTTTGTCGCTAATGATCATTTCTGACTCCTAACCTCCAATTATCATAAGATCAAAAGATTAAATTTGATCATCCTCCCTAGTACCAGCACGAAGTGTCTGAAACGACTCAGTCGTTAAGGGGCTGAGTGTTGAAAACAGAATGCTAGGGAGAACATTAATGAGATTAAAATACCTGCGGAGGCAGTTCTACAGCCTTCCATGTAAGTAATCAAATAATAAATTAACCTGCCCAAGAAGTTAAAAATCAATCTGAGTGGAAAGAATCTAAGCGGTAATTTTTTTACTGGAGCTTAGCCTGAAATGTCCATTAACTCACCAGTCTGTGCGGGTCTTGGTGGTACAGGAGGAGATATAAGCTTTCCACTTTCTGATGTGTTTCTGGCTTCCTTCCCACTGTCCAGGCTCCAGCTGCTAGGGGTGGTGTTCACAGCTGGAAAAGAATGAAAAAGCCAATATAGGCGTCAACACTTCTAGCTCTCTGACTTGCCTTTACCCATGAGGGTAAAAATACACAGAGTGAAAACATTAAACAACTTAACAAGCATGCCTGTAAAGCTCTCATGATTACATCAGTATTTGAAAAGCTCTTTAATAATGGCTGTCAATCTTCTGGTTGCCTGATGTATGCATCTGGCCCTCAGGTCAGTTTGTGATTGTACAGCAGTTGGGACCATCAACAACAGTAGCAGCTGAGATGGCACTCTGGTGCACTGCAAATCCAGCCACAAAGGGAGATAAGCCTGAAGCCTGTTAATATAATCAGTTTATCTTTGCACCAGACTCCTATTTAAAGGTTTCTAGGCAGAGGGGAACAGACTGTTCATAAACTGTTTCCATTAACTCATTTTATATACAGAAGGGACTAGGGAAAGGAACTCACCAAATTCCAATCAACCTCCCTCAGAAAATTTTCAGTACTAACAGTCTTTTGTCGCCTGCATAGGCTACAAATTCAGAACTGAAAGAAGTTGGAAAGAAGGGCGTAAAATGGAGGGAGTAAAAATTGAAAGAAATTAAGATGACTGGGGAAAAAAAAAAATCAAATGAAAAAATTATTGTGGACTAAGAAAATTTATAGTCACTGTTTGTAGCCATGGTTGAGGATCTCTGCTTGATCATGTAAACTGACAATCACCTTGACATGTATAAAATTGGCTGTTGCATTTGTCTGTGTGACTTTTACCAAATTCTATGACTTTATAATTGAATGATCCCATAAGGCCTGGAACACCTTCCTTAATTGAGCTGGATTCTCTCATGTTACCAAGGAGCCACCAATATTGGAAAGAAGTCAGATAAACAGAAAGACAGGGCAAAAGCTAACTTAAAATCCACAATTTTTCTTACGTATCCTGTAAGAAAGTGGAAAAAACCTGCTTCAAACCTTGCCCCTTCTGCCCCCCA